AAATCTCTACAGAGTTCTGTGCTATAAAATTAAAGAATATTTAGAAAATTCCCTAATTTGGAGAGTACATTGCAGTTACAACATTTGCGAAATGGAAACAATATTTGCCTTTTGTCTAGCTGACAAGCATAGGAGAGTTCAATGAGCTATTTACTCAGAAATATTTAGAAGAAAGGTACTATGAACAATTCCATCATGACTGTTAAAATAAATGTCCTTATCCATAATGATTTTAATTTTTGAAAATATTATTTATATCACACAGTGGAATAGGCATAAGAATTTAATCATTACTGCCAAATGACTAAAGATAAATATGAGACAAGTTGTACATATAGAAAAGGACAGGGTAATATTTAGGAGAAAACCAGTCCTAATGAAGATAAAGTAACATTTTATAAGTGTGGCCAGGCATCAACAAGCTCTGGATTAACTATTTCATACATAGTGAGAAGAGGAAATGGTCAACAAACTGTTTCAAGGATTAAAAGCAAATGAAAAAAAAAAAGCTCACAATTCACGAGCTGTGAAATGTCCATGAATCAAGGTATTTAAAGAACTACCACAAAACCTTTCATGTGAGGAGAATAGTGAAGTCACATATACTTTTGTACTGTCTTTGGCTGTACAATATAATGCTATTGTGTGGTACATAAAAATTAAAAACAATACCGAGTGTTTATATTAAGCTCTACTTATGACATTAAATGTGTTTGTTAATGTAATCTTTGCAAACATTCTATAGGATTTGATTATTAGTGTCATTTTACACATGAGAAAATTGAGGTATAGATTAAGTAACTTGTTCCAAACCACACAAGTAGAAAGTGGTATAAGTGGTACTCAGATCAAGTACAGATCAGAGCTCAAACCATGGCCTTAGTTAGAAGGACCCTTTGGTGTGTGTGTGTGTGTGTGTGTGTGTGTGTGTGTGTGTGTGTGTTTAAAATCATCTCTAGGGCGCCTGGGTGGCTCAGTTGGTTAAGCGACTGCCTTCGGCTCAGGTCATGATCCTGGAGTCCCTGAATCGAGTCCTGCATCGGGCTCCCTGCTCAGCGGGGAGTCCGCTTCTCCCTCTGACCCTCTTACCTCTCATGCTCTCTATCTCTCATTCTCTCTCTCTCAAATAAGTAAATAAAATCTTTAAAAAAAATAAAAAAAATAAAATCATCTCTAGGTGGGGAGCCTGGGTGGCTCAGTTGTTAAGCGTCTGCCTTCAGCTCAGGTCATGATCCCAGGGTCCTGGGACCGAGCCCCGCATTGGGCTCCCTGCTCTGCGGGAAGCCTGCTTCTCCCTCTCCCACTCCCCCTGCTTGTGTTCCCTCTCTCGCTGTGTCTCTCTCTGTCAAATAAATAAATAAAATCTTTAAAAAAAAAATCACCTCTAGGTGAATGAATTACAAAAGGATAAATCAATTAAGCAAGGGTGGCCCTTCTGCCAAACCTATTCTAAAAGTTTCTCCCCTTGGATAAATCAGTTTCTGAAAGGTTTTCCTTTTGAGGAATGACAGGTTTTTTTGGTCTGGGTCCATGGCTTGGCTGAAAAGACCTAGGGCTGGATTTTTGCTTCCATTTATGCACCTTCGCACTGGGGGTAGAACCTGTACAATCCTACAGAGATCTGAATTATAACTCCCTGGTAATTTTGCCTGCCCCAGAATAGGCAAACTATTTACCAGGAAGCAGCATCAGGGGATTCCATCTACCTCATGTTTCATAATTAATAAATCATCAATCTTGTGGCTCTTCCCTCTTAATTTTTGTTTTCAAATCCAGCCCTCCAACAGCTTCCCCAATGTTCATTGCTCTACTTCAGGCATTCATTATCATTTGACTCATTCTCTGCTTACATCTCATTAATGCCCCTCTTTATTAATAGAGCAAATCCCACATTCTATAGCAGAATGTGAAAAGTCCTTCTTATCCTCCCCTCATCCCAATTTACTGGATCATTTCTCTTAGATATTGGCCTCCTTTATACACTCAGACTTTTTTGCACATTGTGTCTTTTCTCTCTGGAATTCTCACGCACTTTCATGAACCCAATAGGTGCCCACTGGCTCTGTCTTCCAGGACACCTCCAGTAGAGTTTAGTTCCTTCTTTGATGCTACCACAGTCCCTGTTGTAGAGTTTATTGTATGGGAAGGTTCTAAAACTGATACGCATGTCGCTTTCCTCCACCTGACTGTGAACTGCTTGAAGGCAGCGGATTTGTCCCAGGCATCTTTGCACTCTCAGAAAACAGATGAAATCCTGGTTTGTTAGTGTGCTCCCAGAAATTCTTACTGATTGATTCACATAATGGTTGTTTGCCTTATTTATAGCAGAGTCTATTTTTGTAGACAAATATGGCCTCTTTTCCAGAAATAGTAACTTATAAATTAACTAAAAATTAGCATGAAAAATTGAATGATAAATAAAAAAGAAGTTAAGGAAGGGTGAGTCAACAAGTTGGCATTACAGGCTCCCAGAGTAAGTGTTCTTTTGATTATTATCATCATTCAATGGGTAATAACATTGGGAACGACATTAAATAACTTGCCCCAAATCATACAGGTTTCACATGGTAAAGGCAAGTGTGAATCCAGAGCTCAAACTTTTTTCAACTAACATAAAGTAAATGAAGGGACATAATAAAGATATTTAAAAAGGCAAGTCCAATGAGCTCATAGTATATGAAGGAGGAGGACATAGGAGTAAAAGAGAAAGAAGAAAAATTAATAATGCATGTTTATTCTATAACAGGCATTTTAATTATGTCAGCTTATTTACTGCTCATACCAACAGCACAAGGTAAAAATTATTAGTCTCCTTATTTTATAGATGCAGCACAGAGAGGCAGAGAAACAGGTCAATTTCAGATAACGAGTAAGTGATGGAGGAAAGAAGTGAGCCCAGAAAACACTACCCACCAAACTCCCCCGCTGCAACTCAAGTTTTAGTCACACAAACTAATCACTCAGAAAGAACATTCCACACTTTACATTTACAGTCATAGCTGAAATCCTATGACCACAGTGCATAAACGAACTGTATTTCTTGAGATTCCACGTTATTTACATCACTGTCATCTGAGGTAATTCCTCTGCCTTTCCATCTCCTCTTTACCCCTTCACTCCTTCTTCATCACATGGGGTGGGTGAGTTGAATTTTGAGCATAATTTTTTCCTTGTTGTAGTATAAGGGAGAATGTTTACATTTTAATATTAAAATAGATGTTGCACATGAAGAACTTACAACTTTTTAAGAAAATTCAAATCCTGTGCCTAAAACTGAGACACAAAAATTCACAGGTATTCATTAATTTACGTAATTGTACCCACCATATACCAGAGTTCTTATATTAAATGTATACTAAATGTATATTAAGTGTTCATATATTAAAATGTATATGTACTATATGTAAACACCATATAAATGTAATATATAAAAATATTCTGTATCTTAATATAAATATTGCATATAAAATATGACAAATTCTTTTTGATATCAATCTCATACTTTTCTTAGCTGTTGAACAGAATTATACAGTCCAGTATCATTCAGTGTGTCTTCCTTAGATCAACTACATCAGCATCGTCTGATGAATTTGGTACAAATGCAAATTTAGGATCCTCCCTAATATTCCTACTTTAGAATTTCTGGGGATGGAGAAAGGGAATCGCCTTCCAGGTGCTTCTTTTGCACCTGAAAGTTTGAGAACTGCTACAGTCCTATAACACCAGAATTTTATATTCGTATGGGGCCACAAAAAAGCAGATATATTACTTTTTCGTAGAGAGATGAATAAAACAACTTTATAGATATACTTAAGGGTCATTACAAAGAAAATAGGAATTGGACAGAAATGCACTTAACAAGAGCTTGCCCATCTCCTACATAGATGCATAACCTCCTTGGTTAAGACAGTACCTTCCGCTCTCTTAAGGTCGTCAAGGGTATTAACCTCAATGCAGGTAGGAAAAATTACCCAATTATCATTTTATTCTTAAAATATAGCTTGCTTTACGTGAAATTGGCAGGCAATGTTCTTTCCTAATGTTTTAGTGAGTGCTGGCAACATTTTAATTGAACAAATTCTAGAAACTATGGCCTTTCCAACTTTGGGCATTTTTGACCCTGACAGAACTGAATACTGCACTAAGATACTCAGGCTGCTATTTTAAGAAGTAGACGAAATGGACATGAGTTCACCTACATGGTAGTATTTTCTAGATCAGATCGCTAAATTGCATGAATCATTCATGTAAAGCCTAATTAGACACTCTTTATTTTTTACTAATACAGTAATCATTTTGAAATAAATTTTTTTAAAAAAGGAGAGGAAAGGAAAGAGGGAAAAAGAAAGGCAAGAAGGAGATAATACTTTGGTTTGAAAAATATCCCCCAAAGTACAAAATAATCCAGATTGTCATTGCAGAGCAAAAATGTTTTACATAAATTCTGTGGTTTGGAAAAGACTGATATTGTACAAAATCTGGGGGAGTGATGGGTGTATGGGATTTCAGGCACTGTCATATTGAATGGGATGAGGAGAAAGAAATTATATTCTGCTCTAATTATATCAAACTATATAAGTTTGAGCTGAAATAATTCAATGCTTTGAAAGAATAATATTTTGATCTATGTAATGTTATCGGTTAGTTATAACTGTTAAAAATAGATTTTGGTTGCCAAAATTTAAACAGTGTTTAAGGTAGAATTTCATTAGAAATGGAAAGGATTAGAAATGAGAGTAACTACTGTGAGTAATTTTGAGGCATCATTCAATTTAGATGCAACTAAATTGGGTGACAACTTCAAATTGTGAAATTTTTTTATGACTATAAATTGGGTATTATCTATGTATTTTATACCCATCATCAACAAAGTCATGAGGAGGTGAATATCACATATACATAATGCTCTAGGTAACATTATTAATAAAATTAATAACAATCAAAGGTGTATCAGTATTTATCAGAACTTATGCTTTACCAACAATATAAACAATAGTTACCTTTACAAATGCAACAATTTTCAATGAGATTGTTGCCAAATATAAGGAATTCATCACAAAATCCATTAGATTCCACCAATCATGGATGTAATCTTGAAGTCCACCATCCCACATTTGTTTAATTTCTCCCCATATAAAACCTGAAATTACAGAAAGATTCATCGTTAAATGTGATTTTCAATCAAATTACTAAAAATAGAGATATGCAACTTAAAAATTATAGAATCTCAGAGCTGCAAGAGACTTTATTGTTTCACTACATGAAAGATCTCTTTTTAAAGACAGTAATATTCAGTCTCAGCCACACTTTAAAACTTACAGGACACTGAGCTAATTGTAGAGAATGCTCTTAGGGCAGTTTCCCTTTCTTTTATTCATTTGATACATTCATAAGAAGGTGCAGTTTTTGAATCAACTGTAATTTCTCTGCACTATATATTTTTCTCATGGAAAATATGGTAACACTTACTTATAAACAAATACTTAAAGACATATTTCCTCCAGAGTTGAAATGACTCAAAGATTCATGAAAAAACAGTGTATCTGGTGAACATAACTGTCTTAATTCCATCAAGCAGGTACTTTGTTTTGCTTTTGTAAGCAGTTAGCAACTTCAGGGATCTGATTTCAGTTCTGGACACAAAACGGTTATAACATGCATGATGTTTCATAAGAAGACCTTATATCTAGCAATAGCTTTGAAACTATATCCAGAGAAAATAAAAATCCCTTTCTTTTATAATGGTCATATTTTTAATAGGAAATGTTTTAATTTTCAAATTCTAGGAAGTACTTATAAAATATCACTATGTATCATTCTATTTCCATAATCTTATTAAAATTTTATAAATCAATTTTCAGGCCCAATGATGAAAGAGAGAGATATCAAAGGGTGTAGAATCAGGAAATAGTAAAGTGATAAATATGATTTCATAACTACATTAATATAAGCAAATAAGACAACTCTATTAATAATAGTCTGGAATGTCAAATGTGTAGCACAGTGTTTCACAGCTGTCTTGCACTAAAAGCCAGAAAAAATCAGATTAACTATAAAATCATAACCTTTCATGGACCTATCAAAGAGATGGGAAACCAAAGAGCCTATACTTCTAAGGAAAGCAGGTTCCTCCAAAGAGAGCCTCAGGGTGAACATTAGCTCACCCGTGGCAGAGTGCAGGCATAAGAGACAAATGCATCATGCAAGAGAGTAAGAGGATTTCAGAAAGACTTTTAAATAAACTTCTAAAGGCTGAGTCTGAGCTAGCACAAGAAGGTAGAACCCCTGGGACACAAATACAAGAGGAGTCTCCAGCTCCTTGCGTGCTCTTTTGCATAGAGTACCCCTCTTCCTTAGGAAGCACAACACATGAGCCCTATGGGAGAAGCAGGAAAGAGTCCTGGGCCGAGGGTTTACACCAGTGTCATTCAAGGGTTCCTACCACAGGCGGGAGGTCAGGAAAGTCTCTTCTGCACATGACCTGCAAAGTGTCACTGCTATAAGTAGTAAGGTATAGAGCATTGAGAACCTCCATCCCTAATGCCCAGGCATCATCCTACAGAAGTCTGACCCTAGACCAGGACAACAGAGGATCTGCCTGTGTTACATCACCAGGCCAACAAACAAAGTAACGAGCAGAAGCTGACGACCACTGGAGGAGTGGCAAGAGCATGGAGAGAGAACCCCTCTGAGGCACAAATGCACAGAGGAGGCCAAAAGGTGTGGGTGGAGCAGGAATTCTGAGAATAACCCTCTTTCCTACTTGTCTTAGTCAGTTGAGGCCACTCTAGCAAAGTATCACAGAGTGGGTGTCTTAAAACCACAAAACTTTATTTCTCATAGTTCTGAAGGTTGCAAGTTTATGAGCACGGTATCAGCACAGTCAAGCTCTGGTGAGAAGCCTTTTCCATGTTGTAGATACTGACTTCTCTTTCTCTCCTCACATGGCGGAAATAGAGCAACCTAGCTCTCTGGCCTCTTTGTATAAGGGCATTTATCTCATTCATGAAGGCTCCACCCCCATGACCTAAAATGCCTCTCAAAGTCCGCACCTCCAAATGCCATCACCTTGGGGGTTAGGATTTCAATATGTGAATTTGGAGGGGACACAGACATGCAGTTCCTAACACCACCCGAAGGAGAGTATATGGTGCTCTGAAGATGACTGTAGCAACGAAACTCAAACCCGGCTCAGCTCCCGACTACATTGCCTCAAATTCCTGCATGATGTTCTCGCGGAAGAAAATGGCATGTCCATTTTCCGATGTCAATGCTACATGTACTTCTGTCTGGCCTTCTGCACAGGCAGATGTACCGTCTCCAAATACACACATGCAGGCACACTCTGATACATCATATTCAAAATGTTTTAAAAAGATAAAGAAAAAATATTGATGGCATCAGGAGTGGGGGTGGGGTGGAATGGCATGGCATTCAAAGGAAGAAATCAAAGACTGACATCAAACTTGTTGTCTGAAACTATGTAAGCCAGATGCCATTATTAGAGTGCTGAAAGAAAAGAAAAAATAAAAGTTTACCCAGAACTCTATACACGGCACAAATAACTCTAATAAATGAGGGTGATTGAAAGACATTTTTTCAGACAATCAAACACTCAGCTTATTGCCATGAGACCCATGCTACAAGAATTGCTGAAGGGATATATTTTAGGCTGAAGGCATATGATACTGAAAAAAATTAGGTTTGTAAAAAGAAATGAAAACCTATATCCAGGAATGGTTAAAAAGAAAATAAATGTAAAATATATTTTTTTTTGAATTGCTCTAACAGATAATTGACTGCCTAAAGCAAAAACAGTAGCAAAGAATTGTGGTTTATAACATATATAACAAATAGAAAAGTAAAATGACAACATTAGCACAGAAGATGAGAGAAAGGAATTAGAAACATACTATCATAAAATTCTTACACTACATGTCAACAAAATAAATATTATGTGAAGTTAGACTGTGACAAATTAAAAGTTTATATTGTAAACCCTAGGACATTCTCTTAAAATATTTTTAAATGTAGGGGTGCCTGGGTGGCTCACTTGATTGAGCATCTGACTCTTGATCTCAGCTCAGGTTTTGATCTCAGGGTCATGAGTTCAAGCCCCATGTTGGGCTCCATGCTGGACATGGAGCCTACTTAAAAAAAAAAAAAAAATATATATATATATACACACACACACACACACACAAATATATACACACATATATATACACATTTAAATGTATAAAGAGCCAGAAATATAAATAAACGTGAAATTATGAATAATTTGACAACAGGCAGAAAAAAGGGAAAGTGCAACAAAGAACAGATAGAGTCAATAGGAAAAACAATAGTAATGAGGTAGATTTCAAATCCATCGATATTAATAATTCCATTGAATAAAATGTATGGTCTTAAAAAATGTATAGTCTAAACACACCAATTTAAAGACAGAGATGGTCGTATATAAAAATGCAAAACACAACTATATTACAATTCATCAACAGGTTAAAAATGAAAGAATAATAAAGACACTATGAAATACTAATCAAAGGAAAGCTAAAAAAAAGGAAGGTGAATTGGCTATATTAATATAACTAGATATATTTCAAAAGAAAGAATGTTACCAGGTAGGTAAAGGTATACTACTAACGTAAGATTGAAAAGGCCAACTCACTGAGAAGACAGAACAATCCTAAATATGAAGGCAGCTAACAACATAACCTTAGAAGGCAACATGCCATAATTAAAATCGAAACAAAAAAGACAGAAAGGTAGAAATATAGTTAGATGGAGACCATAGTATTCCCCTCTGTAGAACCTGTAGGCAGAAGTTTGGTAGGAATATAGAAATTCTGAACAACACCATCAACAACCTGACAATGGCAGAATACACTTTTTTTCAAGTGCGTGCATATGTAGTATTCGCCAGGAGAGACTATATCATGGGCTATAAAACAAACCTTAACATATTTATGCAAATGGAAATCATACAAAATGTGTTCTATGACAACATAATAAACGAAAAATCAGTAACAAAATGTATTTGGAAAATCCCCAAATATTTTGCAATTGAACAACATACTTCTAAAAACCCTTGGTCAAAGAGAAATTTGCAGAATAATTAGAAAATATTTTGAAACTGAAAATGAAAATAGATCCAAAAAAATAAAATCTGTGATGCAGCTAACATAGCACTTAGAGTGGAATCTATAGGTTTAAATTAAGACTTTATTAGAAAAGAATAAAAGTCTCAGTGATCTTAGCTTCAACTATGACACTATGAAAAGCAAAGCAAACAAGTTAAGCCCAAAACAAGCAGAAGAATGTAAAAGAGATAAGAGCAGAAGGCAATAAATTTTAAAACATAAACCTTGAGAAAAATCCACAAAAACCGAATCTAGTTCTCTGAAATGATCAGTACAATGGATAAAACTCTGGCCAGAATGGTCAAGAAAAAAAGAGGGAAGATACAAATGATCAATATCAGAAAAGGAAGAAGGGGCGTCAATACAGATCTTAGGACATTATAAGGAAAACAAGTGAATAAAATGAACAACTTGATACCCATAAATTTCACAACTTAAATGAATTGAACATTTTCCCTGAAAGACACTAACTTCTAATCTCAACTCAAGAGTACAAAGAGTAACCTGAATTGTCCTATACTTATTAAAGTATTATGAATTCATAGTTAAAAACCTTCCACCAAAGAAAAATTCAGGTCCAGTTGCTTTATGGTGAATTCTACCAAACATTTAAGGAAGAAATAATACTAGTGCTAAAAACACAAGCAGCGAACACTTAATACAAAAGGAAAAAACATCCAAGAGGCAAGCAAGTGTTGTTCTGATAAAAAAAAGTTTGACAAAAATAATACAATCAAAGAAAACTACACACTAATAACTTTTATGAATATGCACAAAAATCCTCAACAAATATTAATTAGTAAATTAAATAGAGCAATATATAAAATTGATAATAACGGTTTTTCCCAGGAATGCAAGACGGTTTCAACATTTAAGAACCAATCAATGTGATTTATGCTATCCATATTCTACTGGGGAAAAGAGATCTCAATAGATGCCGTAAATGCATTTGACAAAATTCAACTTCCATGCATAATAAAAACTTTGGCAAAGTATG